CAAGGGGGGAGGGTTTCGTTAGGAACTAACTAACCTTGTCATCCGGGCAGTTGATATCAGAGAGATTTGGGAGTCCGCTCGAGTGACGACGGGTGTTACAGTAACCACTGCATTGGAGCCACGATGTGCGCGATTAGAGCATGATCGATAAATCCTTCAAGAAATTGGCCTTCATTAAGGCAGAAACGAAGTGGGACCATTCTTGCATTGTTGATTTGGTTTTTACTACAAATGGAATTTAAAATTGTGTTATCAAGAGTGGAATCTGAAGGTTGTGTTTCACCTAAGTGTGTGAACGGTTCGACTGTGTTGGAAGTGATTTCTACCCAACATGATTCCGAATGCTTGAGGTGATTTTTGTGTCGTAAGATGAGGTTTTAACAACCCAGTTTATTCAGTTATGTAGTTTGGAAAATTGCTTGTGGCGACTACAGATATGACCGGAGAGAGCTACAAACAATAACAACAAACAATATGTAACTCGAAATAAAAATAACTTTTCTCATCTCTGTCGTGCGTTTATCTACACAGTGATTTTGCATAGGAAGAGCGCAATTTATTAACAATCAGTGCCACTTGCACACAGATTCTACAACAGGCAGCGAACCTTACGACTACCGTGGAGTGGATGGGAAGTGGACGTCTATGCTAGTTCACTATTATATTAGAGAGAATTAACAACAAAAAAGACCAAAAAACACAACGAGGAGGTAAATACATAGGGTCAACAACACTAGCAACACTAGAAAACCCATCAAGCATAACAAAAACGAAAAAAGAGTGAAATTCCTAAGGGTCAGCATTCACTGTACTCCATTTTTCACAGTCGAACCGTTCACACACCATAAATTGCGCTCTTCCTATGCAAAATCACTGTGTTAGATAAACGCACGACAGAGATGAGAAAAGTTATTTTTATTTCGAGTTACATATTGTTTGTTGTTATTGTTCTCTCACGGTCATATTCCGTTAGTCGACCACAGCATTTTCCAAACGACATAACTGAATAACTGGGTTGTTAAACCTCATCTTACGTCACCAAAAATCACCTCAAGTATTCATGGCGTGTTACATCTCAAGTTACATAAATTCGGAATCATGTTGGGTAGAAATCACTTCCAACACAGTCGAACCGTTCACACACCAGGTGACACAACTTCAGATTCCACTCTTGATAACACAATTTCAAATTCCATTTGTAGCAATAACCAAATCAACCCAAATCAACAATGCAAGAATGGTCCCACTTCGTTTCTGCCTTACTGAATGCCAATTTCTTGAAGGATTTATCGATCATGCTCTAATGCCACATCGCGCTCCAATGACAAATGGTGTACTGTAACAGCGTTCACACCTATCCACATCTCTCCGGGCAGTTGATTAGGGCGGTCGTCAACGGGCCGCAGCGCGTGCCAGGAACTATTTGCTTTTTCCAGGCTAATTTAGTCATTTTTTCCACCTTGTGAAGATAAGGAGCTGCTAATCTGGGAAAAAGTAGCCAAAACAGTGAAAAGTTGGAAAAAATGACTAAATTAGCCTGGAAAAAGCAAATAGTTCCTGGCACGCGCTGCGGCCCGTTGACGACCGCCCTAATCAACTGCCCGGATGACGAGGGTACTATTTTCAACTATGAGAAATATTAGTTGTATTAGCCTTTGGCAGTACCGCCAACTAAGGGGGGGGGGGAAGTTTTAACGGGACAGAAGCCGAGACGCCCGGCCCAGACTCAGCTATCGATATGGTGTTCGACCATTCAAGCCGTTTTGCGTTCATAACGCACACTATCACTAACTGGTAGGTATTTTAAGGCAGAGCAAAAGAAAAGATGTGAAAGATCCTGGCAAGAAAAAGGTGCGCGAATTTTCACCGTTAGCTAGATGCATACGCTTTGAATAATGTCTCTGTTGTTAGCCTCCGAAAGATGGAAAGAATCCGAAGACACTGAAAAAGGAACCGACGGGACCGGCAACGAAAACGGTACTGATTCGTTTTCAAACAGTATAGAAGTCAAAGAAATGATACCGTTCGCTTTTTATATAGCAGGGGAAAAACTGGACGGAAACTTAATAAATCACGATAGGCATGTAAATATATTGCAGTAGGTCTGGTAGTAACAGTGCCCAGCTGGACGGGAGCCAGGGCCCGCAAGACAAGGTGTTGAAACTTTTCTACAGTGGTGGTAAAGCCAAGCGGATTGAGGTGGCCACAGCTGTGTTCTCAAGCAGTGCGTCTCCGCAGTGAACTATATCAGTTAAGAAGGGTTACGGGCGTAAGAACAGATACCAGGAGGGGATAGAATTGTGACAGTGGACGCCCCGGAGTCCGTCTGCTCCAACCTTGAGAAGGATCCGCTCTGACCCTGGACGTCACGTCGGTTCCAAGGGTGACCAGCTCTTAATATCTGGTGACCAATATTCAGGGTACAGAGACAGGGGGGAGGGCAATCAAAAGTGCACGGATGGTAAGGAATAAGAGTCCAGGAGGTAGCTTTACGAGGAACTGGGTTCCATAGCAGGTCGCTGCTGGCAGACACCATCAGAGACTCCCTCAGGAACGAATTTGAGAATGGAAAAGACAGTGCTGTGGTGGAAGCTTCACTAGTTAGGCACGATGAGCTCAGCTGAACAGTACTGGAAACCGGTTTCCCATACCCTACAGACCACTTCAAGAGAGCTCGACCAACGCAGTAGGGGGGTATCCCATGGGTTTCAAAACAAACACTGGAAGATGGGCGAGGTGGACTCAGGGGAGACAAGACGCCGCGGTTCTAGCACTCCAGCAAGTTATGAAGCGTAGAAAGGGAGCGCACAAGTGGAAGACTTCCTTGTCTGTAAGGGTTGCAAGCGACTCATAAAGGCCAAGGCCCAGAAACGCGGAAATGGATGTTGGAGGGGTTGGACAATCGAGATGCGAACAAGTTTGTCTCTGCCTGTCTAAACCTGGAAATTGGTCTCTTGAGACATCAGGGTAGTGAAGATTGTGAAAGACTGGGACAGTTCCATCGGCATACTCTGCGACCGAAAGTACTCTGGTAGTGCAAGGTGTAAAGGTAGTAGTAAGGCCTGTAATACTCTAGACACTGGAGACCCCCCCCCCAAACAATAAAGCAAGAACCTTGAACGGCATCCATACTCTGATAAATGAAGATACTGACGTGGAGACGCGGTTGGACTCGAATGGTCAAAAAAGAAGATGTCAGGGCGGCCACGCAGACAGCTTCTTTCCCATGAATGCACGGGAACTGCGAGCCCAGAAGGCTTGATTACCACACGATGAAAGAAGCACTGCACTTCAAACGACTACGAGGAGCTCAAAGAACTGGAAAGGCGTGGTCACGGGCCTCAAGGGGAGATCTCTTACAATTACACAGGGCATGTGGCAACGTCTGACGAAAAAAGCGGACCTCGCGTCGCCGAGGGAATAACGCTAGGAACATGTTGTCGATAGCGAGATCTTCCCAGAGCCGGGACAGAAATGAAGTGATCGCAATCAATGACAGGTTGAGGCTACGCTTCTCATACTTAAGGTTATCCTTTCGCATCAAAAGTGAGTCTCGCGAGAAGGGAACGGTGAATTGTTCCCCAGAACTTTGGAACGGCGGTGAAGCGAAATCTTCAGTTATGTAGATGATTGAATGCTCTATGGAACTTGAAGGCGAGCACGCGTCCTCATCAATTGAGTTATACGGCTTAAATAGTAATAATAAAGTAGAAAGTGATTCAGTAGAGAAGAAAAAAAGCAGGGAAAAAGTTAAGCGAGGCGCCACGATAAAACTCCATGTCGTTCTGAGGCTGTACGTGCATAAGACGAAGAACTGGTGTGGTCGAACGAGTTCCTGTTTGCTTCTGTCAACCGTTTCTTCTTATCACCTCCCTGTCACAAATCGAAGTGGAGAGAATTAGAAGCGGTATAACCGCACCCTCAGTCGACAATTAAAATGGTCGATGGGCGTTAAGACAGGCACTGGGCGGGGCGGCAGTTCCTTCACGAGCGGATGGCGCTTTCTAATCTCGTATATTTTAGTTGAAAAACTGGTAAATCCTCTATCCTTGTAGGGAGGGATTCCCTATGAACTGGTACATCCTCTATCCTTATAGGGAGGGCTTCCCTATCCAGTGAAAGCGTGGGAACATCACATGAGCGCGGGTATTGCCCCTAACTTGTAAGATGGCAATATAGCAAAATTTTCGACAAATCATGGGAAAAACGAGTTGAATTTGTAAAAATTAGTTCGAATCACTTCACATACGGCTTATTGTAGCAACAAAGCGACCGAGCACCAGCAGCCGCTGACCATGCCCTGAAAAACACCCAGACGCCCACAGAAGAAGTGCAGCCAAAAGTTGCACAGCAACAAAATATAGCTGCAATACCCAGGCATAGTGGACCACCTCCTCCAGGTAATTTGTTCATATTCAATATGTCGACACAATATCAAGTAACAGTCCCTAACTTTCAGACAAAAGCAGAAGGCAAGGATGTTGTGTGCTGATGTAATGGGGCCGTCAAAATGTCGTGTGCTTCATGCTTAACACCATTTCTTCTCACAGAAACGTATCGATGATATGACCCCTCGATTTTCACTCGTTAAACATTAAAACTTAACGATTGCGCAATGCAGGTAAACTCAAACTGGTTCAGAACAACCCAAAAACTTTGATGACAATGACTGACGATTGCAACGATTTTTATTAACATAGAAACAGTTGAGTAGCCTGAAACAATAGAGTTTACGAATCAAGCTACTTCTGAAAATCTTACAGATCTCAAGTAAAAAAATTCCACAAAGAACAGTTAGGAGGACAGATTGGAAAACAATCAACGAACAATAGAGAGTAGAACAACGATTCCATTTCTAAAATTTACCATGACCATATCAAACAAACATACATTAATGCTACTTATGGTGGTATACATTAGAAAGAAAAAAACAAAGGAAGCATGTCGTATTATAATAACGCACGCTGCACTTGGATCAAAGCGCCAGATATTCGCGAACTTTAGAACTGCCGTTGATGATATCTATCCACATCGTAATAGGAGGTAACAACAGTTCGATTGGCAAACTTTCGTCCAGTCAAAGCAGCTTGTGCTTTTTGACAATCCGCACATGAAGCGAATTCGACAAATACCTGAACAAATTTATTGAAGTAGTGGCAAGAAAGGGGAAAGTCTATAAATTCACGCTGTTTCTCTACCTTTCCAATTCCTGCAACCTCCACACCTGGAATGGGTCGTGGTACTTCCAGGGACCGTACAATACCATACTTTGAGCATTCTTCTCTGATGTCCTCCAGGATATCTAGATAGATGAATCGTATAGGAAAAAAGAAAGTCAACCAATTCAACAGTCTAAGAAGAGAAAACTCACCTTCGTATTCGTCATCGTCTTTCAATTCATCTTCGACTACCATGTTCATCAAGCAAAGTATTTCGGTCGGCATACCAGCTCCTTGAGACAGATCAATGCCTGAAAATCGGTGGTTTGTAAATGTAATACTAGTAAAGTGTGGGGAAAATCTTCTTTGAAAATAGTACTCGTATTCCATTTGGTGCAACTGCCACTTCCTTCAGCAGAAGTGCATAAATTGAGGACCAGTGAAGGATAATACGATGCAAGTGAGTCGCACTTCACCATACAGAATTTCGTAACCTCCTACTGAGCAGCTCCAGCGTAACACAGGCGATCACATTTCTATGAGAAGAGTGGTAATCATGGACGATTACCTGCAGGGAGCACGCACTACAAAGCATAAACCTAGGCGCGGACGTACTATGCGAGATAATAGGGCGAGAAACTCTATTTCTTCTTCTAGCAACGGACAGACAATTACAAAACTTCTTCTTCTTAGCCTTCTTGCCCAACGATCCTCGTCCATGCATCAACTCGAGGGGGCCACCAACAATCAGTCCACGGCAGGTTGATCCAGGTCGGCTTTTTGGACGACTGCCGATGAAAATGACCTTGTCAGCTGACCTGAGGCCATGATTGAACATGACCATACTAGCAGAGGCGAGATCCGGCAAGGAAGTTGACAACTGGCTAGACTTTGTCCTTGATTGTTTTGGTCCTGCCATGTGGACCAAGACTATCGCAGCATTTTCGTCTCGATAACACCATAGGCCTGTTCCTCGGCCGTCATCTGCTTGGTCTCGACTCCATGGGTAGCCACTGGTCTTAGTGCAGACCGAAGTGCAGGACTTTAGGTAAAGTGGCACTCCCTCCTCGCAAGCTATGTCTGTGACGGTCCTCCATATGTTCCAGGCCGCGTTTATTCTAACAGTGTATCGGCCTCGGCATTCGCGTCTGCCGCACCGTAGATCCTAGATGCGAAAATTTCGTAGTCATAAACGGCAACACAACTGGGCCTACGAACTCTGCAGGAGCGCTCAATATCCGTTATATGACTCGTTCTCATCATATACATTTAGTTCCGTTTTGGTAATCTTATTCCTAGAAATTCAAAACACCAATCTCAATCCACACAACAAAAACCGACTGTACATCGGAAGGTCCCATGGAATGGGCGTAGTTCCTATATCATTAGATTTTTTTTTTGATTTTCGCTCCGAACCATATGTCCCACCATGAGGAGCAACCGAACACACAGAGAAGAAATGTTTCAATTGATATCAAAGATTTCTTCATTTTCTAGATATGCTTCTACGTTTTTGGATATCGTTAACTTGGGAGAAAATAGATAAATTTTGTTGGAATAGGCGCTCATGCTAGAATATGCTAACGGTCTGGCGCACCGTTGAAAAAGGTGGTCCCACGGAGGATAGTGTTGGTGCAGCGGAAGACATTACCATAATTTTTACCACATGAAACGATTCGACAGTACTTACCAGCAATCGAGGTGGCTGAATGAGCCATTGGTTGCGAGTTACGCGCGTTGGCACAAGCAAGCTGTACTACAAGTTGCTTATCTCCGAGTTGCATACCGTTTAGACCAGCGATAGCCTGAAACCGTTTTTAAACCATTTTTTATGAAACCTTAAAAAAACTTTGAAGCTAATCTCTAAGTGTGAATTAAGCCTTGCGCCATTCACGAAACTAACCTGATCCGTAAGGGTTGTATCAAGATACTCAGCAAACGCGAATCCTTTTGATGTTCCGCTGGAGTCAACAACGAGGTTGAAAGCCTTCAGCTGTCCGAATGAACACAGCAATTCCTTCACCTAAACAAATAACGACTTTGAACCACGTAGTTGCTATAATATTGATAATAGGTCGCCTCATCCAAAAGCGCAGCGAAATGAAGCATTGGCAGGGCTGAAGGGCTAAGGCTACGCGCTACTAGATCGTTTTAAAGCTGGTACTTTTAGCTACGTAGACGTGAAACTTAGCAAACTCAGAAGCAGAAGAATATCTCGAGAAATTGAAAAGAAGCTCGAGTGGTCAACATTAGAGCCTCATTCTGGAATCGGGCGTCCTAAGAGGAAGATGGGCTTCTCGAATTTACCCTGTGCCGGACCAATACATGCGTATAAAGGTCTTCTCGAAACGGAAAAAGGAAGATTTGGTTCAGAAGTCCAGAGAAGGAAAGACCAAAAATGGCCTAGAAGGCCCACGTAGTGTTCATTAAGAAAAACGAGTGAACGAAGTCAAGCTTCGAATGTCACGATACAGGGATTTCCATACCGAAGTTTCCCCGCGAGGCTGACCAGCTTTCCTGCCAGAAGCTCGAACACAGTGGCGATTCTATGCCTGCAGCGGCAATATTCTCCGCATAGGCGTCATTCAAGATGAAAACGCCTTCCAGCCCTATATGAAATATGGGTGATATTGTACTTCCAGCCAAAACTCAGAAACGTCTTTTTATGAATGCAGATGAAAGCCGCCCGGATTCTGCCAGAAGTTGTGTGGGCCCAAGCAGATAATCATCATCATGGGTTCCCGCATTATTGCTTTCAAGCGGCTCTGTCCAAAAAACAAATACGCCACTGTCGGAGTGTATTGCCTGTCGCTCGACGTGCAGATCGCACCATGCAACTATAAAAAGGCATTAACTGCTTAACACCATGCCAGGACCCAATGTCCGTATTATTGGGCAGTGTTCCAACAAAAAACAATAACGACACCTGAGTTCGATTGCCTCAGTCGTTCGACCTACAGCAGTGCGATTTGAACTGTTCTGTTCAACTGAAGTCGTCCAACGGCAAACGCATCGATGATTTCTCAATCGCCGAACTCGGCATCAACAGCATTGTATTTCCGTTTGTTAAAAAAAACGGTGGTGCTAGGGGTACAAAAGCTCCTGGGCATTGGGAGCGAGTCATTCAGGAAAGTGAGACCTGCTCAACATAGAGCAAAAATATTACTTTTTGACTTTCTTCTCATTCTTTTTATTTGAATGAAAGCTTCACGCTTTTGAATGAGATGACCTAATAAATGCGACCATGCCAAACTTGGACATGAGACACAATTGGTATCATGCGCAAGGTCGCATAAATTTACAAAAGCCTAAATCCTTTTCAATCGCAATAGATGAACAATGATTAAAACCGAACAACCTGCCTAAGCAACACACCACCATACCCCATGCACCGTTTGCGCTGCGCTAAAAAGCCTAAAAGAGAGAACCAGAGCTGAAATAAAAGAAGGCTGTGGCTTTCGGCGGCGGGCGTGCTAAAATTCTGAAAACAGTGTGCGAAAACGGATCCAGATAGGAGCTTTTTCGAGTCATCCGATGTGGAGAATGTACAGGTGGCAGTACCAGGGCCACAGCGTCGAGCGCTGAAACACGCTCAACACATTAGTTGCCATCCCATAACAGAAATTGCCACAATAATATTAAATTCCTAGTTAATGAAGGCATAAAGCAATTAATTGCAAGCCTTCGAATTTTCACTACAAGCGCAGTAAGTCATTCCAAAAGTGGCAGCGGGCAATATCAAAAATGTATGCAGATTTCTGAGTGAAAGACGTACCTGCTCTTCATTAAGATAGGTCGGTAAGCCACCGATAAAGATCTTATTCGGAGAATCAACAACGATATTCGACACTAAAGAGAAAAGTGAGTGAACAAAGCAATATTTAAAAGAAAAAAGGGACTGTAAGTAGAATCTGGGGTGAGTGACCTACCTGGCATTCTCGAAGCCATATCAAAGCTTGCACTGATGGGTTGGTAATCACGTGGACGACGAATTTTCAACTGCTGACCCATAAAGTTGATACCTGAAAAAGCATCGTCAAGTGCGAATGCCGCGCTGAAGAAATAGAAAAAAAAGTACCATCAAAGGCCATTCCCGCTGTGGTTTCATCTATTGAGCGGAATTCGATGAAGGCGAAGTTCTTGTCTAGATTAATCTGACACGCGAGCACAGGATTCCCTGGTGCCTGTGCTAATCCACAAAGGTGCATCTGAAAGGATAAGAACGTCATTACGAGAAAATGGTACAAGCCTTACAAGCTTAAGTTACTCAGGTATAACAATAGCGCAAGGTGCTCTACGAAGAGCGGACAAGCATACAGTGGACTTAAGACGCTGCCCAATTCAGCCTGCGCCAAATGGTAATTAAGCACTAGTTTGTTTTCTCTGGAAAAGTCAATTATGAGCAGTAAGAACTGTGATCATCATGGCAACCATTTATTCGCTTCCTACAACAGTAAAATGCACACGAATTTTTTTTGAAGGGACGCAATATAAGATAGAATAGTGACTGAATCTATTCATGGTCCTGACAAAACCCACCACTTCTCCTTACGCTTCCATTCGGTTGCAGTTCGCAGGGGAATGTACTATGCGTTAAAATACTAGTAATGGTTTTATTTTGTGTTTAACCAATGCTCATTTTTAGCAAGGGGGATACTGATTTACCGTGAGTGGATGTAAAGTTGGAAGATGTGATACAAGACACATTTCCCACTGTTTTACAGATGGAAGAACTCAAATATGCAAGCACTGGTACGAAACAAGCAAACAAAACTTCATTAAAAAATGATGGCGCGCACCTCCTCCGATCAAAAAGATTAGCGTGCGCCACTTGGTCGACCAAGCGGCACGTTAAGTTCGGTTCTTGGAGGCCTCTGACATAGCTGTTTTATTATGAAAACTGCTGTTTACGCCGCAGTGCGCGTTCCGAATGTTATCACAAGAATGCTGAGTTGTGAGCAAAAGTCGTGCGTGCGCAGTTGTGAGCAAAAGTCGTGGAGCCGAACCCACACCTCACGCTCTCCGGGAGAGTGCGCTATCCGTTACGCTTGACTGTAACTTTGGACGTTGACTTCTGCCCACAACTCAGCATTCTTGTGATAACGCTCTTGATATACATATTTTGCGCTCACCTGTTGGTTGAAAAAGTCCAGCATAGCTTCCTCGTTGCATCCGAATGGAATATTACCGACGTAAAGACGACGTGACTGACATGTAACCGATGGTCCAACAACGGGTACAGCTGCTTGCATGTTTGATCGGGGTATGGCACCGGTAGCTGAAAAATATAAACATCTGAATGCGCTATTTCTCCGTGAATTCAAAACAACTGTCTAACCCTGCTGTGCTTTATATTCCTTTGGTGTAAGATGTTCAAAACCAACAGGTGGGACATCCCAAAAGCGGTACTTCTTTTTGGGCTCACTACGAGTTGTGTCACGTTCTCGATCGCGACCACGGTCTCTCTCACGCCTGAAAGAAGGAGTCAATGATCTTGCTCCCAAAATAATCGAATGAAAGGAGTATTCATACTTCGCGAGTGTGGAGCATATGAGCATAGGTGATTCAACGTTCTGGGGAAAACGTGTGCCAAGGGAGTGGACAGGACTCGACCCCGGTTGCTAGCGCACATTCTCCCGACTCGCCGATTCTCCTATTCTCTCGAGTCGTAAAGTATGAACGTGTTTTCAACTTGTGCAATACTCACGAGCGACGACGTTCACGGTCACGTTCTCTGCTGCGACTGCGACTACGACTTTTCCTGTGTTTTTTGCGGTCACGATCGCGGTCACGATCACGATCTCTATCACGATCACGGTGTCGGTCGCGATCATCGCGCTCTTTGTCGCGATCGTCGCGGTCTCTGTCGCGATCGTCGCGATCTCTGTCGCGGTCCTTTTCGCGATCACCTCGATCTGATTTGTCATCCTTGCTTTCTTTAGAATAAGCATCGCCGTTAGCTCCCACATCACCGTTATCCTGTAATGAAACTTGTCAACGATTAGAACACCCAACACAAGCAACTAAAAAAATCAAATCGTTGAAGTAAGCAAGTGAATCCGTAGAAAAATCGAAGTTCCCGCTCACATATTGCAACCACACCAAATATTAAAAACAACATACCCTGTCATCATAATTCTCGTTATAAGAATTATTCATATCACCCATCCGAGCCTGCTCTTCTGTGGCCACCATGAACTCTTCGTTGTCCATATTCTATAGATAGTCCATTAAATCACAATAGAAACAATGAATAACATGAACATGACAATATGAATTAAAAGCGAACATAATATCACGGATGTTTACCGGAAGAACGAAGATGACCACCACACATTCTCGATTTTTATCACATTGATTAAACAACGGTACCGAATTAAAAATCACTCCTGAGAACATGGCTAACATCGGGACTACTCAAAAGTAAAAAAAAACATGCGAATAAGGACATCAATAGCGCAACCGGAAGAAAGAGAAGACCAGATTATTAAACGGTCAATATACAATTTTACATCACTGACACGGACGAATTTTTAGATTATGTCAGGTACAGCTTGACAGTTACGGTACAAATGATGAAAAAGTACATATATACAGATCGGTAAAACTATGCCTATGCGGATGCCTTGGCTATTATAATGAGATGTGAAAGCAGTTACAGAAAGGCAAAAGTGTAGGAAGGCAAACCAGCTAAAAACGTGAACATTAGTTTTGAATTTTGAACTGTACAAATTGGAGTGTTGCTAACATTATTGATCTTTCTATGGCACGCTTCAGCATCCACAATACGAGCCGTCAGAGTTCGCTGTATGTTGCCCAAGACGAAAGGCAGGTCTGTCACTTTCCCATAGCCCAGGTGTTTGAATAATCTGAAAAGAGAACAATCAGCCACGACATTAACATCCACAACGGACCATGCATTTTTAATCATATAGCATGGACGAGTGCCAAGTGCCCCTCTACTGCATGTGCTCAATGTGTTCCACTTATAGAAAAAGGTGCAAAGGGGGCAGTTCGGCAACGAGCAGGGTGGGGGAGAGGGTATTTGGCACACTTTGGCCACTTTCCATCGACGTGTCGGGCCAACCCAGAGCTATTTCAGTTGAGCTTAGAAAGATGGCAGCTCTTATCATGATGGCTCGAGGAGCTCATTACAGTTTTACAAGAGTTCATGGGTTTCATGGTGACCTGTAAAACGGAAATAGTGCAGCAGCGAAAGTGCAAAATGCCCCAGCCTATCGCCGAAGATATTAGCACGAAACCCGTAGTCTCAGTTGATTGGTACTCGGGTCACATCTTACCGGGCAGTGTTCTCATAAGTACTCTTCCTACTCGCACATTCGCACCACAAAATGCCGCGACGAACAGCACTAAGCGAAACCGAAACCACTGAAAAGAAAATCGAACCTTCTCAATGAGCTCTTCGAAAGCGCACTGTACTCCTTCCTTCGTTTTAGCGCTAGCTTCTATGAATAGGGCTCGATGACGTTTCGCAAATTTCAGTCCGTCCTCTCGAGAAACTTCGCGGTTTGGCTGAAAATCATGTGTTACCCAACACAAACTGGGATATATTCAGTTCAGGATAACTGGGATAAGCACTAAAAAAGGATTACCATATCAATCTTGTTTCCAACCAGCATCTTGACTGCATCCCCCTTTGTGATATATGTTTCCACCTCTGTCATCCAATGATCCAGATTTTCGAAAGAGCTCTTGCTTGTTACGTCATATACTAAACAACTCAATTATTGTGCCAGTTATTTAAGAAAACGAATGTATTAAGACAGAAAAAAGCGTACCGCAAATTACACCCTGGGCACCGCGATAGTAACTTGGGGTTAGTGTTCGGAAGCGTTCTTGGCCAGCCGTATCCCAGATTGCAAGTTTTACCCGATTTCCGTCAACAGTCATTGAAGTGACCCGAAAATCTACTCCTAAAGAGAACGAGTATATAAATACTAATACTGGTTGCTGCAATAAATTCTGACAAACCTATTGTTGCCGCTAATTCCGGATCGAAAGTGTCGTCGACGAAGCGCAACATAAGACTAAATTAAAATATGGTAAGCAATCGATTATAACATACTTTAGACATGTGCCTATTGAAGTATCTAGAACAGAAACTAAGAAGAGCGAAGGATGGCGCTCATCCTGAAGAGCGTGCAATGGAGCTCACCCTCAGCACGCACTACAGAGATCTCGTCAAGCGTCTAGCCGTTGTCTTAGGCTTGTAGTAATGAGTTGTCTTCTCGAGCAATCTTCTTTTGGTCCCTCAGAGTTTGCAATCTCTCAGGCAGATTATGGTTATCTCGACTGGTTGTGTTCTTCTGAGACTGATTCACAGCAAAGCAGACTTGTCTCCCCCCCCCCCCCTCTTCCGGGTCTCCCTTTCATCCGTGTGTTCTTTTTTCTCTTCTTATGTCCTTCCCGATGTTTTCTCGTCTGTCTTGATTCGATTCGAGAGTTGTCTCTCTCCATTGCTTACAGTATATGGTTTTGTCTTGGTATCATTCGCATCTTGGCTTCAGCTTTTGTCATAGCTGTTTGAGCCTCATTACGAGTTTGCGAGTTTTGTTTCTCTTGTTGTGCTATCTCCCCCCTCCCCCCTTCCTTGCTCAAGCGACAATGGGAGCAGGACCGAGGACCTACTAAAATGGTATCCGGAGTTCGAATTACGTCCGTCGAACTTACAGTGTTGGGCGGCCACTGTCCTTCTGAGTTGCAAAATCTGCCCCTCCCTGTCGCACCCCAAACCACTTCCCCTTGCTCTTGATGCAGTTATCGGAATCTGTGTTCCTCTCCTTGAGCATATCTGTTTTTCACTGTTTATCTCATTACCGATATCAAAAAAGTAGAGATCTTTGCGAATCAATTATTTCCATTAAAGACCAGAGTATCATTGCCAAACTCGACAAAAAAAAACAGCCATTCTCGTGTCTTTTGCAGTCACTAT